GATGAGACTTAGAATGAGCCTCAATCGATTGAACAAATCGAAGCCAACGGGTTACACGGGTTTGTGCGGGTATGTGTAGTACGCGCACAAATTAGGGTTGCAGAATGCTCTTAATAGCATGACCACACAAATTTTAAGTTGCAAGGAAAGACTCATTAACACAGAGATCGAACTCTTAAAGATTAATCCACACAGCGAACATGTTCTAGAATATGATTCAGTCAGTGAAGATTTTTTGGGATTTTCCGATACAGAGAGCAAACAGACTGAAGAGCAGACTGAAGAACGGATGGACGTGCAGACTGAAGAACAGACTGAGGAACTGATGGACGTGCAGATGAACGTACAAAGAGATGGACAACCATTATCAAAAAAAAAGGCTCAATACAATTTAAGGAGCAGAACCTCGATATACGAGGAGGGACCGTCAAGGATCGATGCCTTGAACCCGCCGTAAACCCAGAAGACCAGGAAGCAGAAAAAGTCGAGAGAGTGGTGCCAGACATGGAGGCGCTGCCAGAGGTCGTGAGGAAATTGACTCCTCGCGACAAAATCGTACAACTGCACTTCGATGAAGTGTTCACCGACTTTACATCAACATTTTGTAGAACGGAAGCGATGCTCTATGGATGCGAATACTTCCTAAAGGGAAAATTAAAGAAGACGATGGAGTACCGAAGGGGACTCGTATTCCAAGTACGGAGCTTATTGACGGCATTTAGCCTGATACTCAGCGCCTATCCCATCACCCGCTATAATGGGAATCCCAAACTATTAATAGAAAACATAAGATTCGCAGAGGAGATCGGGCTCGATGTAAGAGCAGTGGTCTGCGACAGGAGCGCTCAAAATTGCGAAACAATAAATAATTCCCCAAACAGCGTATTTATTAGGCAACGGGCGGATGGCAGCAATTATTTAATCGCACAGATGTACGACTATTTACATCTTCTAAATGCAGTATTTAAGAAAACTGAAACGGCAAGATTGCAACGAAATCGGCTCCGAAAAACTCCTCCATCTGGAGACATTGGAAGAGGAGAGGCGCCAGCTTGCTAATTACCTCAGCCAGAAGTATATGCGAATCAACCCAATTTTTCACACCGGCTATGCCAGCAAAGTTGAAAATGGGAATTAAGCGAGGAATCATCAGTAGTGAGGTAGAAGTTCGGACGTACGAACTCTACTCCGCCATCACAAAATTCAACACAGTTTTCCATGACGGTAAAATCAACAACATCAATGGGTAGGCCCAAAAAGCAGAGCTGGAGACAGTCAAAAAACACCTCAACACCGCCCTAAAGGCGGACCAGCTATCGGGTGACATCGTGCAAACAATCAACAGATATATTACATTAATGGATGGGCTGCTGGACGAGTACCATGATGAAATGGCGCCAGCGGTTAAAAAAAGGACCAGACCATTGATAAACGTAATGAAGTTTATCAAACGTTTAATTGAACTCCAAAAAAATTTTTGGGGAAGCGGACGCTCCACCACAGGCGATTACCATGTTGTAAAATCGATGGACTACAGCACGGAAGACCAGGCCGATGAAGATTTTCTCCCACTTGGCCTAGATGGATATTCAACGATGTAGTCACTGACAAACTAACAAACTAGGCTAGTACATACGCGAGCAGCTGCGTTGCCAAGAATGTTTAGAAGACCTCACCAAAAGAATAGAAGGTGCAAATGACCCAAGAGATTTGGCCAGCGAAACCCACCAATATCTAAAACCCGAGTTTGCAAAGCCCGAAGTATATGATGCATTTCGTAACGCCTGCGACATATACAAGTTCGTGATGCTGAACCATATGGTAGAAGAAAACATCGGCAAGCGCCTGCAGGCAACAATACTAGCACGGGTTGCCTTCTTCAGGGAAGCAGGCTCCTGTCACGACGGAAGAAGCCACAGAAGAAATCTGCTTCATGATCAATTTGCAGCTGACGGGGGTAAACTGGGTGCAAAAAAATATGAAAAATTTGTCTTCGTTTTAAAGGTCGCCGCCTCGCCGCCTCATAAAAGTGCAGCTCTCTGGTCGGCGGTCGCCGCCTCATAAACACGAAAGTTCATTCTATGCCTAAAGTAAGCTTGCATTTATCCTTACTTATTCTTATTTATAATATATTTAATTACTTCTATTTCATTTTAGATTAAAACCAAGATGTGAACAAGCAAAGCAGAAATTATAATGGTGTAGGCGTACTGGGGAGCCAGCCATTTAAAACAACTGGCAACACGTCTATCATTGTACCTCTAGGGTGGCGTGGAAAACCGTGCTAGGAACTTAGCTATTGCGCTGCAACAAATACTACCATCAGCTCACGATCTCCTCCAAACGCACTTGCTACTAGAGGAACATAATTATACGTACGTAGAGACAGAAGATTTCAAGGAAGGACGTAATTTCTATAAAACGGAGAAGACTGAAGGCTACGAACAAAATATCTGCTTACAATGCCGTTGCTTGCAAATTCTGCATTTGATAAGCGTTGGCGCGATGAGTAACACTTGACTCATTGTTGCGCTGAGAGCATTCAATTTTTGGTCCTCTGTTGCTGCTACCATAAGCTTTTTGTGGACACAACGGTAATTCATTAAGCGATAAGTCTCGTCCATTTCGAAAACAAAAGTGAGCTTAAATATGAACGAAATCTACAAAGGAACAAGCCAACAAAACGTGGATAACCAGGCTTAAATTTATTATTGAGACATTTTTTCACAGGCAAGTAAACGATTGCCAATAATTTCACATATATCTCTGAAAAGCTGCAAATTTAGAAATTATTTTCCATATGATTAAAAATGCTTCGTAAAAGTGCTTAATATCAATGATATATTTAACTTTCTTTCTTGCTTTTGCTTTTTTTTTTTTTATGTTTCAAAATAAAAAAGTCGTGCCTTCACGATTATGCCTTTACAATGGATGCTGTTAAAAAAGTTTAAACAAATTTGCTGACATAACGTTTTCTAAGATTTTTTCTTTTTTTTCTTTATTTAAGATTTTAATTTTACTAAGCAGTCTTTACAATAATTCGAAAATGTAATGAACATCTCATCATCAAGCCGACAGTATGTGCATTAGACCTCAGAAACCTCATCATAAAACTAAAACTGCTTTACGGTCTTATGTTTTGGTAAGTGATTTATATGAAATTAACTGCAACCTAAACACCATTTGCAAATTTATAAATCGTAATTTTGGTTAAATCATTATTTAGTGCCAGGTACCAGGACCAAATGTCGTTGGAATTAACAAAAACTGCAGTAGTCACATTAATAAGTTGTTCTTAATCACTGTTTACACTAATACTGGCGGCATTATTTCCTTCCCAACAGGCGACAAATTTACAATAACGAAATTTATAGCCGTCATCATGAATATTGGTGATGTTGCAAATTACTCTTTTTTCCCCCTACGAAATACTATACTTAATAAGTGATACTTGCGACGCTAACAAGAATATATGTATTTTTGTTAACTAACTTTTTGCAATGTGCTCTTAAAAACATTGATGAATCAGGATTAGGATCATAGAATTCGCTTGTTCCTTGCGGTTAGTTTCTCATATAAATTAATATATGCTTAATAACTAAAATTTGCGAGAAATAGATATATAAAAAGATTTTAAAAAAGTCAGCGGTAACAAACCGTATAGGGCAAATTTAAAGTTGCCACATCATCAATGCAGATAACCTCGTCTTAAATGCCACGGCTTTTCCCATAGACGCTCATTTAAAAGATGATATTCAGTTAGAGAGTAATTTTCAAAAATCTTTGGCCTAATAACTGTGCCAACATGGCCGTTGACCGTCTATCTATCATCAGCCAAGCTTATGCGGCTAAATTTCGATTCTGCTAGATCAAATTTCCCTGTGGTAAATATTGATTAAGAGTACATGTCATGAACATTTATACAACGAAAAGAAAAAAGCCAATTGACCAATAAAATAATTTTTTTACTTGACAACGAAATTTCCCAATATATTGAAAAATAGGAAAATTAAGAGCAATAAAATTAATTCAGTGTATAGGTTGGACATCTTAAAACTAAAGTCTAATACAGCTGTCGACTGACGAAACTTACAAACAAACATCTGTTAGAGAATTAAAATCCATTTAGTTTTTTTAAACACACTTTTCGAAACTATCAAAGAGTTGCTAAGTAAATTAGTGAAGCTCATTAGAAAACTTCATTTATGTAATTTGCAAATCCCACACCACGTCTGGTACAAGGCTATGTTAAGTTTGCGCGGATATATGCAATATCCGGAAGAACTTGAGATAAAGTGGAATCACTTTACGAATCGATCTAAGCTTGTTTGTCCGCCTGACTCTCTTATTTCGTCGTGTTCAACCACCAGGTCGTAATTTTGGAGATATTATGATGATATTTAGAGTACAAGGGCGTGCTTTAGATATGAATCGATCTAAACTCGTGTCCGTCCTGATTTTATTTGTTCGATATGCAAGTGGCAATTTTTGAGATACTTTGGTCAAATTTGGTATGTTGATATGTTTTGGCCCAAGCACTGAAATGGAACTGAGTGGAAATGTTTCGGACCCCATGGATAGCTTTTTTGAGTGTAATGGTTTATTTTGCTAACTGAACAACTATATGAAATGTGTAGGGTACGTAATGATGCACTGTGTCCCACTGTAGTGTTTTCGCTTTTATATCTTTTCAATAACTCTGCCTACATTTTTAATTTAAGATTCGTACCTCTGCAAGCTAAGTATAAAATAATTGTAGGTTCTCTTTTAGAACTTTTTTGAGAGGACTGTCATGTTAAATAGCCATGCTGAAAAAAATCATAACTTTTTATGATGACGAACCAGTTCTTAGACTTCTGATAAACGAAGCAGTCGCTTGAATTAAGTATTCTTTATTAAGATAATAATAATTAAGTTAACAATAATTAATTTGAGTACGATAATTGGTAGAAAAAAAATGTATAAAATATGAACAATAAATGCATTAATTAGGCATTTCGAATTTTAATAAATTATTTTTCATTAATCACTTCTGAAAGCAAACTTATTTTTATACTGCTTTATACTAAGCAGCGAACAGATTACCAAAGCAATTTACTAAATTACACTTGTTATCAGAGGTTCGCACTTTTAATAAGGATAAATATTACGAGTTAAGTATTTTTTTTTCAGCTGTACCAGTCCACTCTTCTTTCAATTCAACATTACAACCTAAATCGCGCAAAGCTGCTTTTATATCTTGATGCACACTGGGATGCTCGTTCAAAGCTACATTCAATAAGTCTTCTATACCAAATGAAAGCCAAATATCGCACTGTTCACGAGAACGAGATACCATATTCCGTACCGCCCAAGCACCATTACGCTGTACAAAAAAAAAAAAAAAAATGCATGACTGACATCTCACATATATATAGGGATATACAAGAAGTATAAACTCAATCACCTGAACTATTTTATTTTTCGGATGTGTTCGTATGGTTTCAACAATTATCTCTGCTATGCCAGTTTCAAAAAATATTTTACTATTTTCTTTAACTCGCAACGTCAAAGTTGATATACACGCCAAAGCAGCCGAAACAACATGCTCGTTTGACTAACAAAGGAAAATGAAAACTTCTGTGAAAACTTTAAACTACAATAGAGCCTTTTTGTTTCTTACTATATGCGTTTGAAGTAATTCTTTGAGTAACGTTGCTCCACCTTCTTGCACAATGCGATTTTTTACAGTATCATTGCCTGCTAAGGCACGTAACAATTTCAAAGCTTCACGATTTAAACGCACAACATTTAGATTGTTAGCCTAAATTAATATACATAAGCTATTTGAAATATTTACGGGGCCAGTACATGCACTACTAACCATTACTTGAAATACTAATTTAATACCACCTACTTCATCGACATTCATACAAATTTCTTGACGCACTGCCAAACAACCGATAGTTAAAAGCGAGTCAGCCAAAACATTGGTGTCTTCAAACTCTGAAACAGAAATTGTTAGGTTTTACTTAGGAGAATTTATTTGTATTGGATACTTGAATTAATTTCTTCCATATCCATCAAACTTAATCCATTTCGTCGTATAGACAGTAGTCATTGACGCTCATTGCTTCTTGCGCATATATGTATTCAAACAAACAATAAAATCTCATCTACGCAAAAACTTAGGTTAATAACGATGTAAAACAAACCTCTTCGTAAATGCTGAAGACTTTTTTAAGCCTATATACATATATGCATTGGTCGAAAACTTGACTCTGAACTGGAGAAGAAAATGTACACAAAACGGGCCAGAAAATTTGTTAACAAAAAATTGCAAAGAATATTATATGAAGATTGGAAATCGTTGAATCATTTACTATTGAATGATGTCGAGCACCCACAGAAGTGTCAAAGAAAATTTTTCTTATTATGTGGCATTATTGCTCACAAAGCCGTTTAGATAAACTTGCGAAACAAGAAACATGGCCCTGTGTTAACTTACACATCGAGATCGGTAACTCCGGAATGATCCTTGTATTTCTTGAGATAGCAGCCGCATACGTTATGGACTTCTGGAATGGCTGAATAATCAAGGGTAAAAGATAAGTAAGGAAGTTATATTCGGCGTGCTTCTTGCATTTTACTCTCCAAGTTCTTCGTTCCATGAAGTAAATATGGACAATTTCTGCTTTCCAACTTTTGTAATTTCAGACTAAAAAGCAAAAACCCACAAATTTTTGTTAAGAATAACGTACTTGCGTTCTGTTTATATTCCTCTGCGGGTTACTGCTCTGACCAATTTTGCATATTTTCAACGCCCACCTGCGTGCAAGAACTTCCGATGAACAGAGATGGACTAAGCCAATAGATTTGTGGCTTATATGTCCAACACCTGATAAGTTAAACATAAAGCAGTATGTAAGCCATCTTTTTCGAGAAGACATTAAAAATTGTCTCGATTTATATATGCATGCATGCACATATATAAATTAAATAACCTTCTTAACGAAGTATATAAAAAATCATGGAAGTTAGTTAATTCAAGCATTCATAACGAAGAAGAAGCATTTACCTTTAAGCAGAGCCGTCAGATCTTTAACAACTTCGTTAGCAATTTGACAAGCATGTTCATGAGCACTACCAAACTCGATACGGATGTCGTCGTCAAGCGTCAGATATCGGAAAATAGCTAAAACTTCACGCAATATTTTTCCATTTTCCTTACTAACGAATCGTTTTAATTGTTGCACTATATTTGCATTCATTATATTTTGGCGATTCATTTCGTGCATAACGCAAGCTTTTTGTAGCCATTGTAAACACAAACAAATAACGGATTCATTAACATTGGTATCCAGCAAACATCTTGCCAAAGCTAAAGCATTAGCGTTGAAAATGTCTGGTTGCTTGTTGGTAAGACTGTTAAGGCACTTTAGAATAGCCTCCAAAACATCAGTGTTTGAATTTTCACCATTGCTATTTATACGAGCTTCAAGTAAAGACAAAAGCGTAGAGTGTGCACCATTTTGCGAGGCTAATACCCGATGCGGTATTGACTTTTGACACTCTTCGTGCAATGTGTTTAGATGTTGCAATAATGGCTCGTCATTTGAAAATTTATCATCTGCATAAGATTTAAGATGCTCGATTGCTTCGTTGAGTACCGGCTTCCCACTATCGGTGTTAATCTCTAAATCTTTAATAATATTGGCCAGATTGATACCCTATTTTTAGATTAGCAAAAGTAATACTTGTATGACTCACTCATTGTACAACGGCATCAACTTATAAACCATAATATCTAATAGTGCGTTGAAGTGTAAAGTACATTATTTGTGTTTCAATATTTAATTTCTTATACACCAAAATTTCTACATACTTGAGCTTCAAATTGCTTGATGGTTTCTTCTTTGGCTTCATCAGGGCTCATGGAAAACTCCACAACATTTTCCTTAACAATATCATCGAAAGTATCTTGCGAAATCACTTTTGACATTATTGAAACCTCCAAGTTTCTTTATAACTATACCTAAATGAAAGAGAGTCAACTTCCCACGCACATAAGCACGCCAATAGATTTGTATAAAATTAATTATGAAAAATAACTAAAATAGATTAGTTGCTTTTACTGCAAAAAAAACCTTATCGAATCTTTGTCAAATAATAGAATTGTTCTTCTAATTTTTATTACCGAAATTTACTAAATTTTGAATTTTTTGTATCAGCTGGAAAACAACCAAAAGATACTTCTTTTTTCTGTCGTTCTTATTTTGACAGTGTTATCAAAATATCGAATTTTGTTCATTAAAACAACTATGGAAAGCGCATATAGAAAAAATTACATACATATATGATATAAAAACCAATTATAGTGAAAATTCAGCTAAGACCAATTTTGCATAACTTAAATTATCTTGTTCTTGCGTTCGACATCTCAAATTAAGGCTAAATCGTTTCATTCCACGCAGTCGACTCCAAAGTAGTCGGAAAAGTGCAAGCCAAGGAGGCCAATAATCGCTACTGTCTATTCCAAGCAGATGTAAAGGTCCTTAGCTCACTGACCTTAAACTCTTCGGCCAAGTTACTTCCAATTTTTAAGATTTTTTTCGAATATTCGAATGTTAAGTGATGTAAACAATACACTTAAACATCTATAAACTAAATTTATCATCCATTTTATGAAAATTTATAATGTAAATCCTGCATGTATAAGCGAAGCTTCATTGCGTCAGACCCCTATGTTCTTTGCCAGGGGGGCAAACTGTATTATAATACTCATCAACATAAGGTTTAAAAAGCGTAAATAAATTAGTTATCTTATGTAACGAAGCTTAAACCGCTTTCAACCGCTTAGTGGTTTCTTAATTTTCAGATTCGTAGAAGCACAGTTGCAATTATAAATTTAAACCTTCAAAAAATCTAATGTTCTGGCAACATCATATAAGAAAGAAGAAGAAAAAACCTCTCGTGTGCTATGCCAAGATAATTGAATTCGTCACATTTTTCTAATGAAAAAGCAAAAATTCTTAACCAAATAAAGTCAAATTTTTAAAAGACAATTTTGGTGAACAAATTCATTTTACATATTCCGAATATTTAATATATCTTTTAAAAATCGAATAAAGTTGTGAAGGAAAAGTTTTTCCCCAGAAATATGGCGGACGATTGGGGTAAGTTATTAAGTAAATATGCGGAAATCATCCAATGATGCTACATTACTATCTGCAAGGAATTGGTGTAAACGGGTATATGATCTTGTGCGACAAATGACCATGTGGTTACTTTTAGATAAAATTTTTAAATGTTTGCGATGACAAGGGATGCTAAATTATCTATTTTTAAATATGCACATACAAATAGGGCAATTAAATTATTAAAAAAATTCTATTCTATATAACATAATGCGAAATATTTGTTTGGACACTTTCTAGAAAATGCTGCCGAGTCTAATATCGTTATAAAGCCTGCCGTGCCAAGTAATGTTAATAAATGGGCTGGCGAAGATGAAGCTGATGATGTTAAAGTAAGCTAATAAAACGTGACACGTGTTATGTTTATTGACATTTGCATTGAAAACTGATATTTATTTTTGTATGCATACAATCGTATGCAATAAATAAGAGTTCATAGAAAATAGTAAATTCATAATGCTTTCGTTTTTTGCAGGATAGTTGGGAAGATGAGGAAGAGAAAAAAGACGAAGAAAAGGTTGAAAAAAGAAATACAACTACGAAAACGCCGATAAAGCCAGCTACATTACTGGTAAGTGTGTGTAAGTGTAGTGTAGTGAAAAAATTTGTTTAATACAAGAAACATAAAATGAGATGGGTAAACATGGATTTATCTTTTAATAGCTGCTGCAGGAAGATGCTGAAGAAAAAAGGTTAGCTAATATGACACCTGAAGAAAAAGTTGCTGAAAAATTGCGTCTTCAAAAACTTCAAGAGGAAAAAGATCTTCAAACTGCTTTGGAAACACTTGGTATATTACCGGGGGCCGAGGTGTTAGATGCTTTCAATCCGCAAACAAAAGAAGATTTTAAGGAATTTGGTACGACGCTGAGCTGGAAAATTTCCGAATATAAGGACTCACCTCATTTTCCTCAATTCGCTGAAGATTTAGTGCGGAATATTTGTCTAAATCGTATGTAAAAAAAAAGAGTCAGACTTGATCATCCTTCATTTTACACTTTTACCAACAATATTCATTTTTGTTGACAGTTGCGCCTGCCGAATTAAGAAAGATTAAAATTTTTGTTGATAGTCTACATTCGGAAAAGCTTAAATTGGAAAAACAAAATACGAAAAAATCTTCCAGTAAAGGCAAAAATAAAGCAACGATAAGAGCGGACACTGATGTACGTTTATTACATTATATAATAATTGCAGGCTCCTCAACGATTGGTTAATATTTTTATTATTTCATATATTTAGGATATTGATGATTATAAAAAATACGGCAATGACTATGACGATTTCGATGATGACTTTATGTAAATAATATAACCTGCACTAGGTACATTTGTTGTGCTGTTTTCTCTGCTCGTTGTCTCTCCGTGATGCTGCAATAATTGGGCTCATTTTTTACTCAATAGCACACGAATTAAAAGTTGAAAGCCTAATTTTTGTTAAATATGAGTGTCATCTACTTACGTAAAAGCTTGCGTGTTTTATAATTAATAATACCACAACACATAACTGCAACAAAAAGATATGTAAATTCGAGTCTAAATACAGTAACAATAATACAATTTATTTTCAGGTTAGTTATTTATAAAAAAAGAGTAATCATTTTTGCTTTTTGTCAATTTTGATTTTGTATAAAAAAATAAAATGTAAAAATATAACAAAAAAATATTTATATTTGTACAAAAACTTCCAAGAATTATCTTAACTGTGTTAAAAAAAAGGTTTGTAATATTAAATTTACAATGCAGTGCACTGTATAATCTGTATAATGTAATGGGTGTAGTCCACTATACTGCCTCTAGTTGTTTTTTAATAACCTTTCGTAAATGAAAGGGGGTTCGCAAGGCATTCTTCGTAGCAAGGAATTTTTACTAAAACAATTTTGTGTTGAATATATTCACATAGAAGTGGGAAATGCTTTATTTGTCGCACAATAAAATTTATGTCGTATCTGGTTGGCGTCTGTCAAAACAAAAACTTCCACATGCAGACGATGGAACATGAGTGCCGCAAATAGACAGCAGCCGTTGCGAAAAGATTAATACTAATTCACAAATAATGGAAAACATCGAACGGCTGCTCCAAGATATTAGACCTGGAATTAATCTCAACTAATAAGATTATGTAGACTAAACTCTTCCCATGCTTTCATTCCGAGAAGTCTGATCAAGAATATTAACAAAAGGTTCATACAATTTGCGAATTCTGTTTGTCAAAAAATGAGGAAAGAAGAACCGAAGTAAGCAAGAAACTTGTGCACAATTTTCTTTCCGCTACTTAAAGAAGAGAATAAACGACTGCATATCTTTATCTATATGTTTGCTCTGATGTTTTTTTTATAGCTCCTTTCAAAATTGACAGGAAAAAATTCTAAAAAGGAAAAATCTCCCATCAACATTCAACGCCAGAGATTCTTTTATACTTAATAACGCCGGTGTGTTGCTTATTCAATGCACGATTAAAAGCAGACCTGGAAAATTTATTTAAAAAGGGTCCATGTTAGGGTTTCTATTGGGCCGGCGGTCAGGTGCTGAGTAAATTATTCATATTAAGGCTTACTTCCAACATTCTACTAAAGATTGTTCCTAATTTGCGATAGATATATTTGAGAACGTCCTGATGTTGACAAAAGAAAATCTCTTTTAAATGTGGGGAGCGGTTGTGGAGCTATGTCAATATCTGCAATCAAAAAAAATTCCAAATATGCCATAGCTAATGATATAGATGAAGGTAATCAATTTTGAGATTTTTAAAGACTAAAAGGAGATTAACAGAAAATGTTGGAAGCAACAAATAGCTAAAGCATAGGATTTATAACATACCAAGCTCTGAACGATACACGATTGTCCTGATGATTCTCTTCCATTTTTTACATTTCATTCTTCTTCTAATTTTTTTAAAATACCTCTAATACCTATTTTGCTTAGATCAAAATGTTTTAATATTTTTAATTGGAAAATTGTATTTCAACAATTTTTAGCTGCCGCCTGTTCAGTTCTCGTAAATGCTCAATTCGATCGATTTACGTAGGTTGTTCATTTCAAGTAGAAATTTAATCGGCTCTCCCGTGAAAGAAGAAGTTATCTACATGGGCAATTTATTCTGTGATCAAGAAATTGCTGATATTCTATCTCTTTGGTTGGACAAACTCGCCAATGTCGGCAAAATGGTACTAATCGGTGATCCAGGAAGTCATGGTTTATCAGAGACGTAAGTGCGATTTCTGTCGAAATTGGCTGCTCATGAGTTGACCGGGAACTGTTGCATCGAAAATAGAGGATTTAAAAATGTGTTCGTCTGAAAATTTCGTTAATTAATAAATCTCCAAAATCATCGTACGTGTGCCACCTTATTAAATCCCTTACTAATATGATAGTTATAGTGTTCTTACACTGATCAAAGGATTTTGAAAGGCGTTCGTAGTTTGGCCATGTGCCATTAGTAATCGTTCACCGTCGGTGCTATTAGCGCACTGTTGAATGTTCTCCCAAGTGCTGACATGAGTTTCTCGAGCACAGTTTGCACCAAGGTAAACATTATCAGGAAAATTTTTGCCAGCGCAGGGGTGAACTTTATTTCCATAATAATCATTAGGGCTGTGATGACAAGTGAATAATATCTCTGATCCTTGAGTTGTATACTAAAATCATAAAATTACATTTTTATATAAGATACATAAGATATTATATATATATATATATATATATATATGTATATATATGTATATATTTATATGATTATGATTTATATATACAAGTGTCTTTCCCTTACAGTAGATTTGCTAAATGGTACCCTTTTAAACATAATCTCTTAGTTTATTTTTCGCAGCCTTTCTACCCATCACCGTTGTCCGACAAAACACTAAATAATGAGAAAAAGAAGTAAATTTTCATACCCTATAATGTTGGATTGGCGGGTCTGATATTTCTACTTTGTTATACTGTACAAGTAAAAAACGACAATGGGGAAAGCGAGGATGTTCACAGTTTTTGTTGCATAGGCAGGAAAGCATTGTAGGCGTACCCTTTGACTGGCTTAGGTTAATGTTTATAATAGAAATTAGGCAGACCGACGGACAAACGTGTTTAAGTCGATTCAAAATCTGACGCTGATCATTCTCTCATCCTTGCGTGGTGTGCATAAAAATCTAGTAAATATAAAAAGGATTCTCTTCAGCTTAGTTGGAGATTGCTTCTTGAGAAATGGCTTGGAATATTATTCTTATTGTTATTGCGACTCTTATGACTAAAAGTGAGGCAATTGCGCACTAGCAACACTGGCTATCGGGTGCAGTATAGAAAAGAAAAGTAGATCTAGGCAGTAGATATAAATTAGATATAGATAGTATGTTCCTTTAACTAATTTCAGGACGTCCGTATAATTATTATTATTCCTATTCGTATTATTTATTATTCCTAATGCGATTCTTTTAATAAAGAAAAAGTTTAGGTAAATTGAGAAAACTTTTTTAGGATTTGCTGTAGATTTGCTTCAATAATATTTTCTTCAACTTTCTTGGCTTGAAACAGCACACATATATACCAAAACTTGGAAATTAGGGAAGCCTTAAAGCAAATGCCGTTTATATGAAGAATATATGTAAATTTCAACAAAAAGTGATTAGCTGTATTAAGACCGGACTACTCTGGTATATACCCTGTTGTGTTGTGTATTTGTATTATAAATGGTTAATATCATTTGATTTTATTTATTCACCGTTGTCTTACTCTTCTCAGCTTTAGAGATAAAAACGTTTTATAAATAGAACGGATGTTTTATAAATTTATCAGGCAACTAAGTCAAGTAAAAGCATTGTGACAGGGCCAGATTTCACCATTAAATGCCCTACATCAACCTACAGTTTTTTATATATGCTTTTTTAAAAAGGACGTTAAAAAGTGTACCGATCCAAACCATTTTCAATAGTGTTCGTCGTCAACCCAAACCACGCTAGTGTACCAAATTTCATTAAAATAACTGAAAAATTTCCGGATGTAGGTTAAACGTAAGCGGGCAGACTTACAGACAGTCTTAGATGAAAATGGTTTAGAATCATGTTTTGAATCGATCGGTATAATAAAGGTCCTTTTAAGTTGTTGCATACATCCGAAAATACTTATCATGCCTTTGCACCACAAGCGGTGTAATATATAGAAAAACCTATCTTTATTATAAACAGCATTTTTACGTACACATGATTGGGTTACATCTATTAATTTTTACAAAATTATGGATCAATACGCCCTTTTGGCAATATAGCTTATATAATAACTGTTAGATAAGTTTTTAATTTATATAACTTCTTAGTCATACTTAAGCACAGACTTTTGATTTTTTTATGTATATATAAATAACTCTTATATTGAGATCTTCGGCTTACATAATTTTGTTTTCAAATATATCGAAGAAGACCAACCGTGATTGGTCCATTGTTTTTATCTATTGAACTAGATTTTTTTTATTTTTACTTCCATCAATATTTACTTCAAATGCATTGCAAACATACGAGCATATACTGATATTTTTACGTGCACATAGTACATACAATACTTAATTTAAGTCAAAGAATTCAAGTTTCTGTTTCAAGTTACCTTTACTGCATTGACAACGAATACCATGAAAGGATAGTAGTAGTAGTAAGTAGTACTAGTGGTAATTTTACTCAGTAAATGTTGGGTGAAATTCCATAACGACTGCAATATTTCAGCGATGCACCAAACTAAAATGACATGTACTGAAAAGCTGTGTCTCTGAAAGGTCTCCTAGGCAAAAAATTATAAATTGTAGTGTGATCGCATGTCGTTATATTCATCCAGTTTGAAGTGTAACAGAATTATGCAATTTCAGCATAATTCTTTTGTTAAAAGAAAAATGAAAATTATGGCACACTTGACCCGGCTGAGCATTGCATTACGAAATGCAATACGATGCTAGGCGCCCCAATTAAAACAATTACTATTTGTTTACGTTAGCATAATTTAGTGTAATAATTTGTGTATAAATAGCCAGGTAAGAATTGAATAAAGTCAATTGTTAAAAAGCGATTCAAAAGCGTTTAATTGGCTAGAACAACAAAAGGCGTTCCATCCGCTCAAAATTATAGATAGGGACTGCTATACGCCGATCTCGAATGGCATTTTATAAGGCAGATTGACTTAGCGTTCTCAAGCCGAGCAGTCAGGGCAGTACACCACAAAAGACTTGGTCATTCTTACGGAATAATAAAATAAAATATTAGTAAACCAAAACTTTTAATATTACATGGCGATACTGCAGACCACGCAGTAACCAGCCTTTATTTTTTCTGAGGCAGCAAAAACTTTTTTGATTGCACGATCCTACAACCGCCGATCCTGCAAAGCCAGACCACGTTAAAACCAAATTTTCCGGCCACACCCCTCAATACCACAGAAGCAATTAGCCAGATATCCAAAAGTGCTGATCGTCAAAAGCCTCGACAACGAGATTAGTATCATTTACGTGAAGGACTACTTCATTTACGTCATGATACTACTAATAAATATATACGTAGCATATAAAATATATACAAATTTCGAAAAGTTCATCTCCAAAAAAGTAGTAGCAAGTAACCCAGCATAAGATGATTAACTTATTGCATATAGAAACAATTATATACGTAAAGAAAACTCACCTATACCTAAAGCACTAATAGCCATAATATACCTAGGCTACCAAACATATATTGTGAGGACCAAAAGTCGTACCTCGTTTTGGCCTCACGGCTTCTCCGTCTCTGACTGGGGAGAGAGGGAGTGCTAGAGAGTAAGATAGAATAAGAATAGGATAGGCATAGCATAAGAATAGGATAGGCCTAGCATAAGAGTAGGATTGACGTAGAATAAGAATAGAATAAGAATAGAATAAGAATAGAATAGGGTAACTTTAGTTTTGGTTGAGACAGTCGAAGCGAGACTCTCGATGAGAGTAGTGAGTCGGAGTTAAACGGTCGAAGTAAGCCGTGTTGAAGAGTAATGTCGAGAATAATAAAAGAGTCCTTGCGAATACGAATATTCTTATGTTTTCCTCCCCTGGGCCGCTGAACTGCCCCAGCCTTAGGAAAGGGACGAAACGTCCTCACAAGCGGCGCCCGTGCAGGGACTCTTTATTTCAGAAATGCGGGTGAAGTTCCAAAAAAAAAGTAAAAAAAAAAAATAGAAAAAATCAAAACCCAAACGACAGCACCATTAAACAAAATCAAGTTTTCATATAAAAGCATCAAAAGAAACAAGAAACTCACATTGGACAAACAAAAATTGAAAGATTCAAAAAAAAAAAAACAAGAACAAAACAAGCAACGTGCTTGTGAAAAATAATATAGCAAAAAAAAATACCAAAAAAGTGTTCAATTTTGACTTTACAGGAAAAAAAAGAAAATGGCTCAAGCAAAATATCGAAGAACAATTCATAAAATTAATATTGTTAAGTTGATATATTTTTTTTTTTTTTTTTGGAATGTTGAACAGAGATGGACTAAGCCAATAGATTTGTGGCTTATATGTCCAAATAATATAACTGTTGTAATTTTTAGTCACGATTATGTATAAAACGTAACAAAACAAAAAAAAAAAAAAGAGCGGCCGTAATAACTGGAGTGAGCATGTTAAATGTAATTGTGTGTGTGTGTGTAAGTGTGCTTGTTGAGCTCTTGAAAGTCAGACAGAGTTGCGAACTTTGGCTGAAAACGAAAAGGAATGTTATGGTAATTGAAAATGATTGAACGCAAAAAAAAAAAAAAAAAAAAAAGAAAGAGGACGAAAAAGAAAAGTTCTAAAAGGATAAATTGGCTTTTCTAATAAAGCAAGTTAGTTCTCCGAGATGACGTACATTGTTTGCTGCAAAGAGATCGAGGAGACAGCCATATAACATGAAGAAGCTAAAGGAATCTCTAATGACATCTGAAGATTAGATGCTCGGCAGACTCAACAACATTGCAAACTTCACAAACATCACATGGTATAGCGCGAATCATTTTTAAATAAACTTTGTCATAAGTGTGACCACTCATGAGTCTATAAAGAATTTTGATTTCCCAGGAATTAAAAGAAGATACAGAGAAGGGTTTGAATTGAAATGTGGGATTTAATTTATAGAAAAGACGATTGGATTTAACGCGCGCGATTTCTTTAAATTCGTCGTTTAGCTGTTGAAGGATGTAGTTGCGAATTGCCCGAATTGCTTCATTGGGAGTATATTTGATGGACAAAATTGTCCCATCAACACGAGCTCTCCCTGCACGAAAGTCGGCTTGTACATTTAAAAAAAAGCCGCAGTGGCCAGGTACCCAAACGAAATGACAGTCATCCACTTGAGATTCATGCAACATCTTGTGATTATCAAACACATATTGATTTTCTGCATGTCTTTTATCTATTAGAAGTAGAGCTGACCTGCTGTCGGAAAAAAAAACAAAACGTCTGATACCATCGGAGATAGCAACCTTGATAGCATGTCGAATGGCGAGCAACTCAATAAAAGTAGAGGAAAGTTCCTCTTCCACTTTGACTCGAAGTATTGTTTCAGATAGATGTTTCACGACCGAGAAGCCAGATACATTATGTCCGACGGAACCGTCAGTGGCATATATATCATATCCGTTGTAATAAAAAAGGAGCTCTTCTTGGCATAGCAACCTTATACAAGAGAAGTTGACATTTTGTTTTGAGGTAGAGATCGGTTCGAGAATCTTCATGAAGACTCTGCATTTGCTGGTAATGACATTCAAGGGGGGAATTGAATCTAACTTATCAAAAATATGACAAAGTTTTTGATAGCAAAAAGTAAAGCTGCAGGTGACAGTATCACTGAGAGATATA